GGCAATATGGGTATTGAAAGACAGTTTTGAGTCCAGAGTCACGATATCCACAGGTGGTGGGGCAAATGTGGGGCAGCCAGAGAATATCATAACTTTGGTCTTTTTAACATTGTGGACCAGTTATTTAGGACATTAAGTTGAAGTTAAAGATGATCAAAGTCTTGTATGACATGCTGTTGTAATTCATCCATGGAGTTTTCAGAGGCCATTGGGGTGGTGTCATCGGCAAAACGGTTAATGGCAAAGTGCGGATTAGAGGTGCCTAGGTAGTTAACGTATTTGTGGCGTTGCAGTGCGCTTCGACCTCGTGCAGGAATTGAATGCATGATTTGGCGATGCTGCTGCAGCGTTCGCAGTGGTGCACAATTAATGAGGTATTAAACATTCGTCAATAACACTGTCTTAAAATGAAAAATATACAGCATAAAATACGACTGTTTCATAGCACATCAAGGGAGAAGGGTCATTACCTGAAACGTCGCCTATTATATTTTTAAGGCAGCGTTATTGACGAATGTGAGTTTTTAGAAGATGGTTTATCTATTGATATATTTGGTCTACTTTCTGCTTTTAGTTTATGCTGTACTATGAAATCTTCTATTTACCATATACCGCATGTGCACAGGTGTATATTAATATGCGTACAAACATTGTATGAAGTTCATTTGCATAGGTTTTGAAAGCAACGTGGTTTTTAATGTGACATGGATCAGAAATGTGGATAAGAACAAAGAACATAGAACAGAGGATGAAAGTGCAAAGTAGTGGAGCAGAGATGCATAATAGGAATTATGCTGAGAGAAGTAAAGGTGAACACGTGAATCGGAGGGCAAACATTCTAAACATCGTACAGGCAGCCCTCGCTTCGCACTCAAGATGCGTTCCTGGAGAAGTGAATGCTAATCGAATCGGCACTAAAAGGGGTCCTTATACCATTGCATATATGGGGATGCGTTCCCGACAGCGTTAATTCTTTTGTATGAGCAATATACGAGGGCTTTTGGGTTGCTGTAATAGCGCTAAAAATACAGATGGTAAACATGTCAATAATAAAAAGTATAATTTGTTATAGCATCAGTAAATATGTACTGTAGTCAGGAGTACATTCTACTGTAGTCTTCGTACAAGGCAGCGGTAGGAGATGAGGTTGTAGGAGTGATGGCCTCCAGCTACATTTTTGTGGCGAGGTTTCTTTCAGGTAGAGCCTGAGACTGTCCTGGTCTCTTGAATTCTCACCTGCCTCATTGCGCTGTAGTAACACTGAAAATAAAATAAAAAAATTGTTTTTGTTTGTAATCGTGACCATGAATCGCGGGGTGGGTGGTTGGGTGCTGGTTGGCTCAGTCTACCGCGTTCTAATTAGCTGAGCGCATGTAAACAAAGTTGGTGACCGGTGCATTTCCTTGCCCCTAACTATGTTTGTTCTTGCTCCTACCACTTTTGAGTGTAAGAATTCCATAGAATTGCAGTGATGACATCAGCTGATGGGCATCAGCAAGATGGGTTGTTGTGAGGAACGACAAGCAGTGTGGCAGCCTAGGGAGCCCTTCATGGAACTGGCTAGATAATGACTGGTGATGATATATACCACAATGCAAATGTGCATAGATGTGTTATTTCGAATGTACTATGTGTACTACAAACGTGTTTACGTGTGTGCGAATGCCCAAGTGTAATTATTTGGCGCCGCGGTGGCGAGATATTAACTCCCTCACCTGGTATGCAGGAGGTCGTGGGTTCAATCTCGACCCTGACGCTTGTATATTTGGAGTTTGCATGTTCTCCCTGTGGTCGCGAGAATTTTTTTCAATGCCCTTCAGTTTTTCCCTCCACATTTGTAAACATGAGTTTAGAGTATTGGCTGCTATAAATTTTGGGCCAAGTCGCTTCTAAAATAGAGCCACTTCGCTCAGTGGGCCTTACCTGGGGAGCCCATCATCCAGATTTGCTCATATTACCGCTTAGTGGGAAGTCAAACTTTGTTATCCCCCACTGCAGGAAAGTAGAATTTCCACCACTGTCTTAAAGCTGCAGACAGAGATGAAGATTTCCGCGTGCGCTTGTGAGCATAAAGACACGGTGGGTTTTTGAATGCACAGAACAGCTCCCCAGTTGTGCATTCGTTGCAGGCGTGGTGTGAGATGAAGAAGCATGCATTCTGTAACTCGTTGGTCAGCAGAGCCTCACATGGTCACGCCAGGGAAGACATCACAGAACTTCTGCAAGAGTCGATTAGTTAGGCCTCCTCACCCGTAACTAACACTTGGCTCCTTTATTCTCTGTAAAGAGTGGGTGGTCACATGTCGTCCAATAAAGTGTTGGCGAAGTGAAAAATCTAATTTTAAATGTTTTAATGCATAGGACGAGTTAGTAATATCGTTAGAGTGCTCGACTCTTCACAATTAGCCAGATGGTAGTGACGCTCGCCTCTAAATCGGCACAGTGGAGGCCAGGGTTGGTGGATCACACTGGTTGTGGAACTCCCTTCCAGCGGGCGTCAGTACCTTACCCTTTCTCGCCAGGAGAAGGTGGTACACAAATTATGGACCCCACCTGTTTCATCTGCATGGGATAGAGTGTTGCACCCTCGCACGCTTGGGTTTTCTCAAGCTGCTCTGGTTTCCTCCCATTTGTAAACACTCATTAATTGGCTAATAACAACACCTTAATATGTGGAGGGTCACAGAGGTTGGGGGGGGGGGGGATTTCGTGCCGGTTCACTTCCTGGTTGTCATTCCCGCTCGTTTGTGGTTCCTTAGTTGTTTTCGCTCTTCAAGAGTGAGCAAACACTGTGTTCGTGTTACAGGAATGCATTATTATACATCTTGCAATCAGCAACATACGAGTTCAAATCCCACCCAGGGGTTTACTCAACCCATCAACCTCTCGGTTTTATACGGTTTGCACTGGTTATCTGATATATGAAATTTAACACCAAAATATGGATTTGGCTGAATTTAATTGAAGCCAGATTTGCACGTAATGCTTCTTGTGTGGTCACAAATGGCTGTGTGGCTACAACTGCTGATGTAGCGATTCTTCTGTTAAAATTGATTCTTACGCTCATGATACATCCATCCAATAGTGCACTTAGAATTAATTATTGACGTCACATTGCGCTTGTAATTGATGGTTGGGCTGTACCTGGTTTAAAGAACATTGCTCGTGTCACTCTTAAAAACAGATCTTAACTTTGTTAGTGGAACTTTTTACTCGGATTTAGCACCTTTCAAAACCTCCAGAGAGTCTTCTATATGCATAGAATCAGAAACAAAAGTTAAAACATGTAGTCCCCCCCCCCCAAACATTGGGGGGAAAAATTGGATATTGTTGGTTATTCATCAACTGAGGTTGAAATGCGAAAAGTTTTCCCTTTGACCCGCGAATGATGCTTCCGTTCTACCAATTTCAATACCTAGGTAGTACGACACATGCCCCATTTATAAATCGTACAACAGACAGACATGTTTTGTGTACAGTTATACCCCGATTTACGTCTCCCCCTTTGACATCGCTTTGTAAACACGTCACTTTATTATTAACACCGCTCCCCGATTTGCGTCTCCTCAACCCACACGTCGTTGAGAGCAGCATCATCATCCGTCCTATCTCGTATCTGTCGCCTCTCTACCTACTCTGTAGACGAACTACTTTGCATTCCACATGAATAGATGTACTGTAGAGTGCAATATATGATTTAAGTATGGTATTTTGGTATTTTTTTTATAGGATACTGAATCTTATTGTACCCTCTATCATTTGTGTTAAAGTTTACTGCTGTACACTGGTGTGTAATTTTTTAGTAATTTAATGTAACGTGAGCACGTCTGTGATGAAGATGCGCGCATTAACACATGGCTTCACCGTACCCTCCGTTGTCTTTTTAGCTCTCGGGAGCGTGCAGACTACGTTTGCATTGATTGACGTTTCGATATTCGTCGTCGCAACTTTCAAGAACACATCCACCAAAATACACCGGGATATTACTGTAACTCGTTTTCGCAGCTTTTGCATTGCCGAACAATATTGGGTATTTGTCTCATTATCTTAACATAACAGTGATTGTTTTATCGTAAATTAAATCCTCAAATTGAATTCATTTAACTACTCAAACTCCCCTGCCATGCTATCATGGCTTGCAGACCTCGATGTATTTAGCTACTGAGCATATTACCACATGCAAGGATCACTATGGGGTGAATAAACTCTCAATGTAATGCATTACCATTGCATTTCAATAGTCTTGCCTCAATTTTAATAAACTCTTAATTCATCATTACTACACCTCTTTACCTAAATGAACAGGCCCGGGGAGATGTTAACTCCCTCGCCTGGTATGCAAGAGGCAATGGATTCGATCCCGACCCTGACGCCTGTATATTTGGAATTTGCATGCGTCTCTCCCCATTGGTCCTGTGGATTTTTCTTCGGGTGCTCAGGTTTTCCCTCCACATTTAGAAACAACATACATTTAGAGTATTTGGCTTCTATAAATTTCCACATAAGCCACTTAATTGGGCTATCATTTGTGGCCAGGTCGCTTCTGAAAGAGCTATATAGCGCAATGGGCCTTACCTGGTAAAATAAAAAATACTATAGATAGTTTAGTGTCCTGCCAAGTCTTTTCACAGCCAGGAGCAACATTGCTCAGTGTAATCCCAATTGAGTAATTTGCAGGAAATGTTTTGGCATTGGAATGTTTTGGCCAATACCAATTTTTTTGCGATGGGAGGAAACTGGAGAACTGGGAAGAAACCCATGCAGAACAGGGGGAGAACACACACACTCCACTCAGAAAGGCACCTAAGCTGGGCATTCAACCCAGTATCTTCTTGCTGTGAGGCAGGAGTGTTACCACTGCCCTACCCTGAATCCTATCCATATTAAATTTTGCATACTTTTCTTATAATACATCTTTCACAACGGTGATTTCTCTCTAATATATCTATTATCTGTTTCCTCTTTTGTTCTTTCTCTCCATCTCTCTCTGTCTGTGGCAGGAGCCTGCGAAAGCCTCTAAGGATGGGAAAAAGTCGGCGAAAGAAGCTCCCGAGAACACAGATGAGGTGGGTCCCGCCAAGCCCGAAACCCGGTCACCTGCATGCCGCCCAGTCTCGAAAGCTAAGCAAGAGTTTGAGCCTGGATAAGTGCTTGGATGGGTGATCACATTGCAAAACCGGGTGCTGTCACCTGTGGGCCTAGCGTGGTTACGTTGTGGGGGCAGCAGATGGCGGCGGCAAAGTGAAATACACCGCTGTGCTGTACTTCTATTCCCCTGCGTATGCTTCCAGTCTTCACCGACCCGTACTTGCCGACTGGCGTGGCCAAGTGTGGGCAAATAAGCTGCATGACCAACATGTTGTGGCGAGGCCTCATCCAGCAGTGGATTGACACGGGGGGCGGTGTGCCTAGTTGCACACCCCTCACTCGTATGAATGAATGCCGAGTTTAATATGAACGATCGCTTCATGTGGCCGGCGATCTGCGAGACAAGGCTGAGGCACTGTGATGAGACAACGGTTCTTTATTGGGTTAGAGACGAGGGGGTTCACCATCGCGTGAGAAGATGGTTGCATTGAGTCAAAAAAAATAATCCGTTCCATGTGACTTGAGGATTCTGTGTCGTATGAGATGAGGGCTGCTTAATGGACGAGGACTCAACGTGTTGACAGCGTTTTTGACAAATGTGAGTTTGTTATTAAGTGTGCTTGTGTACCAATGCTAAAGCATCATCACAAAATAATGTTTTGTTAAAAAATTAGAGCAGCATTTGCTAATGGGAGTGAGGTAGCTTCTGTATTAATCAGGTCAAACGTTCTGTGTGAGACAAGGGACCTGTATCAGATGAGTCAAGGTTTCACTGTTCAATGTCAACAAGGCTTTCTATTATGTGAGATTAAGGTTCTTTATGGATAACATATAAATTAAAAACAACACATTTATAGTAAGCTGATGGTATCAACTTTTTCCCTTTTTCAGAGTAGAGGGGACATGCATTGACTCTGTTAGGGTTGGAGATCACACTGGTGCCTTGAAAAAATAGTACTTTGTTCATGAGCAGTAATGAGTTTATTTTTCTTTTGCTGATGTGAGGCTTCTATATTAAATGACACGAGGTATATCGGCTCTATTGGATGTGTATTAGATGAGACGAGGGTTATGTATGGGATGAGACGAGGGTTCTGTATGGGATGAGACAACCTGCAACCTTCAAATTAAGCACATTAGTTGGTGATGCTGCTGCTTTAACACAATTAACAAACTCCAAACATTCGTCATTGACTCTGGCCTTGAAAGTAAGAATATATAATCCGCAATATTTCTGGCAATGGCCCTTCTCATCGCACATAACTGAAGCACATGTTTAGGTGCTACGAAGAAGGACCATCGGCCAAAACATCACCTCATATATATTTATTTTTAAGCTACAATGTGACTCGGTGCTTTGTTGTGATCAAAACAGTTGCTTCAGAAGCTTCAAACGTAACGCGTGATGGTGGAAGGCAGCGAGTGAAGCCTTCGCCCTGTGCCAGGGGCTCGGGGTGGCTGCCTTTGGAAATTATTGGCCTTGTTTTTAGTTTACACCTCGCCAGCCTCCATATAACCACCAGAAGGACCCGCGCTGTACACACACGCACGCACGGCCGGTGATGGCGGTATCATTGCAAACACGTGCCGTTCACCGTGCAGTTAGCGACGCCTATCAAACTTTCTGACCGTTGTGACAGACGAGAGAACGTTGCAATTATAAAGCAGAGCGGCCAACGGAGAGGACATTCCTGAGAGTATGACCACCGAAGAGACGGAGCCAGGTGGATGTGACATCACTGGATCGTTACGCATGGTTGGCGGTGTTAGGCCTTCATTTACAGCAACGGATAGAAAATGGATTTTGGTGATGATGATGGCTCCGGGTTGCCATCAGAGATGAGTGCCACCTCATTTTAACTTGTGCAGAGTGGCTATTGTATGTATATACGTATGTTGAACGTCTTTCACACCATACGTAGCCAGCCATGGAAGTGGGGGAAAGGACAACAAACTAAATTTAAAAAAAACTGTTCTTAAAGAAATTAATTTTTAATTCATATTTAAAAGTGCAGAGTTCCAGTAGCATCCTAATATTAGAAGGAAGAGCATTCCAGACAGCTGCAAAAGCGCATCTGAAAGCGCGCTATGCGGTGACCGTCTTTGTTCGACGATTCGCCAAAAGCCGCTGCGAGGATGACCGGAGTTCGCGTGATGGTTTCTGCTCCCTTGACGAGATCAGCAAGGTATTGTTGTTGATTTGCGGCAAGCACTTTGTGTAATCAGCACGACACTTGAGTTTGACTTGGATCATGAACAGTAAGAATGAATAGTAACAGGAGGCCAATAGACGCGCGTGTGTTTGCGGGAAGCAGTAGTGTAGCGGTTGGTGGACCGCGCAAGAACCTGGTGACCCGAGTTCGATTCCCGCTCACGGCCAACACCAGTGACGATTAATTATCTGAAGCAGTTAGCGGCCTCCCCGAGGTCGACTCCGCCTAAAATGAGTACCGAGTGCAGTGTGTAAACATCGCCACCAGGGAGACAAAGGTGGCCAGGTGTGGTGTTGGCCACCCCACCCCCTAGTGTGTCGTGCCGACCTTCATATGTGCTTGCTAACAAAATGTTTGTATGATGTGGAGCAACTAATTTCTTTAGAACTGATTTTTGTTTGTGTTTTTTTTGTCGTCCTTCCCCCGCACCTGATTAGCACGGTTTTCTACGTATGGTGCGAAGGAAGTTCAGCATACAGTTTGTTAAGGCTATACGGGGGTGGGGGGGGTGGAAATCTTTGTCTTTCCGCGTGTCGCCACTCAGGCAACGGCAGCAGCAGCAGCGGCTGCCGCTGCAGCTGGAGGGAGTGGCAAGAAGCCCAACAGCAGCCAGACAGCGGCGCCGCCTCCTCCGCCGCCGCAGACGCCGCTGAACAAGGTGAAGTATGCGGGGCCCCCGCACATCGTCAAGAAGGAGAAGCGGCAGAGTTCGTCGCACTTCAACGTCAGCAAGGACCGCGAGCTGCAGAAGCTGCCGGCGCTCAAAGGTGAACGCGCGGCCGTCGGCCTGGCCGCCGACGATTTGATTGCGTTTTGAGAGTGTTTTTTCCTCCTGCTATACATTCCCACGTGATGTAAGCCGCTTTCGTCGAGCTGTCCTTTGTGATGGCCGGGTTGCTTCTGAACACACGAATTGTTTCTTTACTCATTGGTTATTTTGCTTGCTTCTCGCCTTTGCTGTTCGTTGCGCACGGTTGCACTTTATTTTGCACGCGGTTCCAATTTTTGTTGCTCAATTGGTGACATTTCATGCTAAAAACACATTTTTCTTCTTTGGTTCTTTCGGTAAAGTCACGTAGAATGAACCTGATGAAGGCCGCTTGTGTTGTGGCCGAAACGTCGTGAGAATATTATTGTGTTATTTTATTTTATCAATTTATTATATTATTCTCATTCTACGTGACTTTACCGAAAGAACCAAAGAAGATTAATCCTTGCAGTCACGAAAGCTTTAAATCGAAATAAAAACACTTTTTTTTATTTTACTAGGTTAAGCCCACTGAGCTATATAGATCTTTTTCAGAAGCGACCTGGCCACAAATGATAGCTCAACGAATTGGCTTATTTGGAAATGTATAGCAGCTAAATACTCTAAAACACGTATGATTCTAAATGGGCAAGAACAAGCCGGAGGATCCGGAGAGAGACACAAACTCCAAATATACAGCAGGCGTCAGGGTCGAGATCGAACCCATGACCTCCTGTATACCAGGCGAGGTAGTTAACATCTCTTCACCACTGCACCCCTTTTCAATCCTGTTGCTCTGCCCCTGGACCGTTCCCGTTCTGCTGTTTTGTGCACTGATGCCTATTGAGGGCAATAGATATTGGCATGTAAAATAAAGATAGATTGCTTGATTCTGCCCGCCAATGTCACCGTTGGGTCACAGCTGTAGGCCCACGTCCCATCAACATAGTTTCTTACGCTCACGGTTCATGCAGGGACTCAATATATTCATGCTATTGTCAAAAAAAAACTTTAATATTAAATTTGGAGGCTGCACAGAGCGGAGATGGTGACTTTGCTTGTGGTATCTATGAACGGACCTGCACGTCCAGGATTGTTCTCCCACTCGCGTACTCATCTGCTAACTGTGACCCTCTTACTGATTGGCTCTTCGCTAACGTGAGACTCTTTTGTTAAGGTCTAGCTCTGACCCGCACAGTAGCACCGGCTTCACTTGTGTGTTAAACACCAGTCGCATGAGACTAAATTCACATTTTTTATCTTCCATGTTGTCTATAGATTGTCTCGCGGTACAGTGCGTTTATAATAAATAAATCAGTGTCGTGTAATTTGAACCCTGTCCCTTGTGTTGGTATCGTATTGCTTAAATAGGGGATTCGAAACATACCCATCTAACCATGTTGCATAAACCTTAACACATCTACACACACATGTATGCACATGTGACCTAGTGGCCATTGAGCCAGTTTGCAAGGGCTCAAAAGTCTGATTCACTGCCGCCTTAATCCCAACGTTCGGGGCTCTATTCTGATTCTCTTCACGCCAAGTCGGCTTCAGTCAGGCTTGGTGAGGTTTAGAGGAAGAGACCCAACCCAGAAGACGGAGCTTATCCTGTGTTTGTGCACTCGGGGTGACATTCTGTTTGATGCCACTCCCCTGCATTGTAATGCAGAGCCAATGCAGTGATGTCGCTATAGCGATGCGACTGTGATCAAAGCTTAATATGTGTGTTGGAGACCCTGGAGCACACAGTCTCGGTAAATATCTGTGAGATTAATCCCGTTTGTATTGGGAATGCGTCTTTGAGGGTAACCCTGGGTTCCATTTCCACAATACAAGTGGGCCAGATGCCGGTCTTGCTGGGTTGCAAGCTATAGTCCCTCTTTCCCCCATTACATTATCCCATGAGCTCACTTTTAGCAGAGGTACACAATTGCAGTCCTACTCCCCTTCACCACTACACCACAAGCCACCGCATTCAACCACTGAACCTCGTTTGTGTACGAGATTTACAGTAAATAACTTCTCATGGCCGGGTGACATTTAAATTGCCACAAAATAACAACGGCAATAACCATTTATGCGCCCAAAATGTAAAGATGTCGTGACAAGCAAACCCAGCCTTGGTAGATACTCGTTGACAGCACTTGCCCATACAGTGTCTGGCTGAAGGGTAGCTGCTCGCTAGCAGCACTTGCACCTACTATTTTCAATTAAAAACTATGAAACTAAACTATTTTTATTTTACCAGGTAAAGCCCACTGAGCTATATAGCTCTTTTTTCAGAAGCAACCTGGCCACAAATGATAGCGCAGCGAAGTGGCTTATCACGTGCACATTGATAGCAACTCAATATTCTTAAACACTTTTCTAAATGTGGAGGGGAAAACCGGAGAGGCCGGAGAAAAATCCACGCGACCACAGGGAGAGAGACGCGCAACACCAAATATAGAGCAGGCGTCAGAGTCGGGACCGAACCCCCGACCTCCTGCATACCAAGCGAGGGCGTTAACATCTCACTATCGCGGCACTCCTACAGTCTGTCTGGCTTGAGGGGTAGGTGCTCGCTCGCAGTACTTGTCCGTTGGCTGAAACGGTGGGGGCCGCTGCTGCCCGCACGTGTGTTTCGTGCCCTGGTTAGATGCGTCGGCGGCCGAGCGGGAGGAGCTGTTTGTGCAGAAGCTGCAGCAGTGCTGCGTACTGTTCGACTTCGTGTCGGACCCGCTCAGCGACCTCAAGTGGAAGGAGGTGAAGAGGGCGGCGCTGAACGAGATGGTGGAGTACATCACACACAGCCGCGGCGTCATCACCGAGCCCATCTACCCGGAGGTGGTGCACGTGGTACGTGGCTCGCTCACTCGCTCGCTCATTCATTAATTATCATGCTTTTTGTATGGTGCAGGAAAGAGCCACTGGCTAGAGTTTTAGCCAATGATGTTTAAAAGCAGTTGTCTGGCTTCAAAAGGAATGTCAGGTGAATTTGCTTCGGAGGCCTGCAGTGGGCAGTTGTTCATAAAGTGGTTGACAGTCTGGATTTCAGTCAAGTCATAAAATTGTGAATCCATTATTCGTAATTGTAGGAGGTAGCTGAATCTGCCGTGCGCAGTTGTGTGGCTGATTATCGGCCAAAGTCTCTGTGGGAGAGAGAAGCCAGATAGCTGCTTTGTCATGTCAAGGATAAGGATCTTGCTGGGGAATGGTTCAACAGGCCAGGCTTTGCATCACCTACAGAAGGGGTCCTTGTCCAATGATAGAAGTTTAGAGATGTCGGTGTGTGAAGATAGTATGGTAGTGCAGGCTCGGTTTTGAGAGGCATGAGCAGCTCTGGGTCAGCAAATCTATATATTTTTTTGCACTACGTGTCTCCGGACGATGGAATGTGCAACGTTAGAAATAATACATGTCAGAATTGTCCACCTCGCTACGAGAAGCCTCTCTGTCAGCCTATGGCATGTGCAGAGGAGTGATATTTGGTCGTAGTGTCTTGGGTTAGGGTTGAGATGTTTGGTATGTAGGATGTCGTGGGTTGGTTCCCGACCCTGACGCCTGTATATTTGGAGTTTGCATGGTCTCCGTGTGGTCGCTTGGATTTTTCTCCGGGTCCTCCGGTTTTTCCCTCCACATTTATAAACATGCATTTAGATTATTTGTCTGTCATACATTTCCACATGATAAGCCACTTCGTTGAGCTATCGTTTGCGGCCAGGTCACTTCTGAGAAAGAGCTATACTTCTCATTGGGCCTTACCTGGATAAAAAAAAAATCGTTTAGTTTACTTCTGCGCTGATCACGTGAAGGTTCTTCTTGAATGAATGACGTTTGTATAGTCTGTGTTGATCATGTCGCTGTTCGTGCATCGGTGTGCCTGTGATCTCTGCACCCCCAGTTCTCGGTGAACATGTTCCGCACGCTGCCACCGTCCTCCAACCCGACGGGGGCTGAGTTTGACCCCGAGGAGGATGAGCCCACGCTGGAGGCCGCCTGGCCACACCTCCAGGTGACGCTGGACGCATCACGGCCGCCGGACTCTGCATCTCTTTCCTCGCCGCTCTCGCGTTGCAACGCTGTCATCTTCCTTTCTTATCTGTTTGGTCTCCTGCCCATTACAGAAAGCTATGAACTGCTACGGCAGTCGTTACCGGCAAATGTTTTTTTACACAGGATTTCCTAAATGTCAAAATCTAATTTGCTTCATAGTTTAGTTTCATAGTTTAATTTATTTTGGTATAGCCCTGTGAGCCATTCGGCTCTTGAATCGGGTGCAACCGCAACAAACAAAAAACAAAAACACGAACAAGAAAACATCTTAAAGTGACTATGTGACTGTGCAAACAGAAAATCCAGGAAAAAACATAAAAAATATTCCTGAAATAGCACCGTACACCAACGCTGTGTGCAAAAATCCCAGTGGGATGCAAGTCAAACAACAACAACAACAAGATTAAGGCCATCAGTCTAACTCCGTACCACAACAAACAAAAACATGGCCAAACCAAAAAACTTTTCGAAATCACCAAAATAAAGCCATAAATGCAATGTAACAGTGATCACGCTTAATCTGAATAAATCTAGTCGAAGACTGAAGGGACGTGACGGACTGATATCACGCTCTCTTCGTTTGAAAAAAAATGGAAGGTGAATTTTGAGTGGGATCTGGATGTGATGGTGTGTTTGCGGCATTGTAGTGTTTCTGGTGGGAAAGATGGGACCCCCTTAGCAGATTATTTCATTAACGGATTAATTTAAAGTCTGTGGACCCAGAACCGTCCTTGCTAAGCAAACACGGGACTATTATTGGCTCGAAGTCTGTCACTCCATCACGCTGGCTGCCAAGTTGCCATAATCGCTCATGTTTCATGCGTTGCTGGTGACAGTTGCCATAAACAATTCTAAAATTATTTTGGTGGATCGATGGCCTTTACTGAGCTCCGGAAATGAGCAATGCGCCCACCCCCTTTTTCAGCTCACGTCATGAGACAATGGTCACAGTTACGTACGTTCATGTGTTGAGGGGAAATGTCGCTCTCCTGAACATTTATCCGTGAGATATTTTAGAATTCATCTATCAAACTATCAGCCGCCACTCCGTCATCAATCCACGGTTCTCTGCCAAATCTGCTTCATTTTTTTATCATAAGTTTAAAACCCCGCTGCTCAAACCTCCAGTCTCTCTGTTCCATCAGCATCTGCATCTTCAATTATACACTGTAGGTAAATAGGACTGTGATGTTGAGTAAAGTTAAACCTAGCTGCAACCACCTAACTCAGCTGACACGGGGCCACAGCTGTCCACAATCAAACTAAAAACTATGAACTATTTTTTATTTGACCAGGTAAGGCCCACTGAACTATATAGCTCTTTTTCAGAAGTAACCTGGTCACGAATGATAGCCCAACTAAGTGGCTGATGACGTGGAGGAAAATTGGAGGACCCGGAGAAACAGCTACGCATCTACAGGGAGAACATGCAAACTCAAATATGCCGGCGTTAGGGTCGGGATCGGAATCAAACCCATGATCTCCTGTATATCAGGCAAGTTAGTTAACATCTTTCCACCGTGGTACCAATCAATGAGTTGGGGAAAAAGTAAAAACTGCAATGTCTGCCCAACATCACTGACTCATGGATAATAACAAATTTAGTTGGGAGTGTCATTTCTCCATAATGACATTTTCCCAACCACAACCTTTCAACTTTACACGTAATAATAATGTTTAATATTTTTTTCATGCAAATTGCATCTCACAAGGGCTGAAGAACCACAGACGAAGGCAGCAGCCATGCGGTTGAACCGTAACTGCCAACAATTGCCCAAGTCCTATGGTCCCCGATTAGACATTTCCAGCTCTAACTGTGAGAGTCTCGTGTAAAAAGCATTAGCTCAATACATGTTTCCAGCCGATTAATGAGCGTCTATACATCTCTCGCCAATTAAACGAGAGTCGGGGGAGGGGTTTTTGTGGCTGACAGATGACCGTACTGGATTTAACTTGTATGCATTTTTGGGGATATGCACTGATTGCAACGAACAAACTTGACTGGACCCTCGGTTACTTTATGGGACTCGAACTTCATGAATACAAAGCAAGTATTGTGATGGTTCCCAGAGACAGACTTGTTTCAGCAGTGAGCGTTGGTGACTATATCTACTGATGATTCTTAATTATGACAAAACGGTCCATTTTGTGAGGTATCCAAACTCGTTCGTAACTGCAAGCGAATAAAAACAGTCAACGGACGCTCTGCATGCACGGCGTAATTTAGTCCCGCTCGCTGGTTACTCTAAGAGTTTAGAAAGGTCTTTTATATCGTTCTAGGTTACGATATGGATTAAAATGTCATAGTAGTTATTTTATCTTGGCAGATTCGTACATGATTATTCATCAATGACTCATGATATAATTTCACACATTTATTATTCACCTCACGTTAGCACTGGGACATTGCCACGTGTACCCCCAGTGGTCCGCGTAACCCCGGTTGAGAACCACTGGTGTAAGGCAACTAGGGTAAAACAAATGTCAAGTCTCTGGTGTGTTGGAAAAAGTATTGCGTGGGATGATGAGGATGCTGAACCAGGAGAGAGTTTGGTAGATTACAAAGTGTCTCCATGGTTAAATGGGTGAGGGGGCATGGATTGTTTATCTTTTGTGGCGGCCCTGAACCAGCCGCTGTATTCCGGTGCACGACCCACACAGTGGCTATTTTTTAATCAACAATCAGTATTTGATTCCAAACTTTTCCGATGATGTTGAGTCTTTTGTGCTCTGTCACGGCACCTCCCATCTTGGTTAGTATTATTAAAACAGGGTAGGAGATGGTTTTGTGTCTCAGACTGTTTCGTGAGCTGGTCTCCAACCTATGTGTGTGACTGCACTGGCTCTGCCCTCTCAGCGCACTGCGCTACGAATCCGGCTGGACCTAGTTCGATTCCCGCTCAAGGCCAACACCGGTGACGAATATCTGAACCGGTTCTGGGCCTCCCCTAGGTCGACTCGGCCTCCAATGAGTACCTGGTGCTATTAGGAGAACGGGTATGGTCCTGGCCACTCACCCCCTTGTGTGTCGTGCCGACCTTCATAGATGCTTGCTAACAGCACTTGCCTGAACAGTCTGTTGAGATTATATGAAGGATCTTTGTCTGCCCTCCCAACCCCACTATCCCCCGCCACCCCCCACAGTTGGTTTACGAGTTCTTCTTAAGGTTTTTGGAGTCGCCAGACTTTCAGCCAAACGTCGCGAAAAAGTACATCGATCAGAAGTTTGTCATGCAGGTGAGCCACCATCACAACAGTGCGTGCGTGTAGGTGTGTCGGTGTGCATTACTAGTGATGATGTGCCTCATGTACTTTAAATCCATTCCCTTCTCACAAACAAGATTGCCCTCAAAGTCTGCAAGATCCACTGTGGTCGGATCCCCTGGCTACCTTGTGTTATGACTCTTAGAAATTAAACACGAATTCACCTCATTTCAGGAGTGTAAAAAAAGTACAAATATTAAATATAAGGTTGTAACTGGGAGGCAGGCTGCCTTGAGTATTTGGTTCTGGCTTTGGTTGTGGTCAAGGTATGAGGGGTAGGGGTTATGTGTGAGTGGCGATGGCTAACAGCGCGTGCCTGGGCGCAGCTGCTGGACCTCTTTGACAGCGAGGACCCACGCGAGAGGGACTTCCTGAAGACCACGCTGCACCGCATCTACGGGAAGTTTCTGGGGCTGCGGGCGTACATCCGCAAGCAGATCAACAACATCTTTTACAGGTGGGCGTCGGCACCGCACCCACACTATTAAACTTAAACTAACATACTCTTTGGTTTTTTCGGTAAAGTCACGTAAGTAAAATGAAATAAATGAAAACAACTAAATTAAATCACGACTTTCGGAGGCAACACAAGCTTCCGTCTTCAGGTGGAAACCGTCACAGCAAAATATCTGTATCAAGTGAAGAGAGCTCTAAGATACCCGAGATTATATACAGGTTAAGGGGGGGGGGGGAGGAGCCAGGAAGGGCCGTGGGGGGGGGGGGCTAAGTTAAGCCGCCTTTTGTGATGCTGCAGGGGGTTAGGGGGGCGGAGAGGCGATGGCGAGCGGTGATCGAAGATGAGTGCAGCCAACTGGAAGCAATGGAAGTGGCTGTACAATTACAAGGCAGCTAAAGTTTGACTTGGTTGATAACATTTTTACAATGATTGCTCAATTTAAAACCATCCTCTCAGTTGAAATTCTGTCTATGTTTGTATTTCTGGATGGCTTCATGGACAAATCTTTGGTAGTATCCAGGAGGTTTGCAGAGTACTTTGGTATCGGAGAAAACAATCTCATGAGAACCCGCTGTGTTGAAACAATGATCAGCTACGGCCGAAGAATTCGTTCTGCCGTTTTTCAAATCTGATTTGTGCTCGCGAATTCGGTCAGAAATATGTCATTTCGTCTCCCCGATATAGCAGTCACCGCAGGTACAACTCAATTTGTAAACACCGGGGTACTGTAAGTAAGGAATGACATCCTTTATGGATGGGATCAGATCACGGATTTTGTGTACTGTATTGAACCGGACCTGGATCTTGTGTTTGTTTAGAACTTTGGTAACGCCTGGTATGTATGGCATTTTGCTGTGACGGTTTCCACCTGAAGACGGAAGCTTGTGTTGCCTCCGAAACGTCGTGATTTGATTTAGTTTTCATTTATTTTATTTTACCTACGTGACTTTACCGAAAAAAACAAAGAGTATGAATCCTTGCAGTCACGAAAGCTTCAAACCGAGAAATCAAACTCAACAAATTTGTTTTATTTTACCAGGCCCACTGAGCTATATAGCTCTTTTTCAGAGGCAACCTAGCTATCACAAATCATAGCTCAACAAAGTGGCTTATCACGTGGAAATATATAGCAGCCATATACTATAAAAGCATGATCCTTAATGTGGAGGGAAAAACCGAAGGACCCGGAGAAAAATCCACGCGAACACATGGAGAGAGACAAGCAAACTGCAAATATGCAGGTGTCAGTGTCGGGATTGAACCCACAGCTTCCTGCATACCAGGCACGGTAGTTAACATCTTGCCACCACGGCACCCACACACCAGGAACTCCACCATGCCATCGCCTTGACCAGACCCTGTCTAAAGAAACACGCTCCAGCGTACTTTACCATCGCCATCATTCGTGGTAGGCATTGCCTTACAACCAAAGAGGTAGGTTGAAGGGAAATTTTCACCACCGAATTTTGAAACAATAATTGAGCTTGCACGTGTGACAATTTCATTTGTTTGCTATGTCGAGCGGTGGAGCATCATGCTGTCTTCTCATTACAAAGCCAACCAAGGGGACCACGGTGGTGAGATGTTAACTACCTCGTCTAGTATACAGGAGGTTGTCGGTTCGATCCTGACCCTTATGCGAAAGCCTACATTGTTAATATTTTGTTTTTTCTTCACCGAACGTCATGAAACTGAGACTAAAAACTGTACAAAAGTGCTCACTTGGTTTGGTACCAGTCCAGACGACAGCACGACTGAAGCCAAACACATTCTAACAGGAGGTGCACAGTGAGTTGCATTATCCTATGGAGAATTAGTTTCTTATTCTTCCTCTGTCCTCCCTCTTTCTTGCCCATGTGTTGCTGCTGCGGTGGTGGTCGCCGCTTAGGTTCATCTATGAGACGGAGCATCACAACGGCATTGCGGAGCTTCTGGAAATCCTGGGCAGGTAAAGCCAAAGCCAGCACTTCACCTTCACAGACGCACACTTTGCCCAACTCCACGGAGGCAATACGCGCAATTGACGATGCTTGGTAAAGTCGGTGTTTATTTAGACGGAAGCAAATTAATTGTATTACCACAGCACAGGTCGCTTAATTTTGATAATACAATACAATTTGGATTAATTTTTAAAGGCAAGCCATGCTTAGCGCGATGCTGTAGAGTACAGTAGAATGCGCTTTATAATAGTGATCTTATTTTTTTTGTTGCGATCGAAACGTCTTGATATATTATTTTTTATTTTATTTTATTTTTCTACCTACGTGACTTTACCGAAAGAACCAAAGAGTATGGATTCCTGCAGTCACGAAAGCTTCAAATAAAGATTATTTTTTTAATGAAATAATATTTAGCATCTATATTATCATTAGCTCCGTTCCCGATACCCCAAGGAAGCCCTTATATGTTGCTCATATGAAAGAATTAACACTGTCGGGAACGCATCCCCATATATGCAATGGTATAATGACCTCTGTTTGCGCCGATTCGTTTAGCGTTCACTTCCCCAGAAACGCATCTTATAGCGCTAAGCGAGGTCTGCCTGTATTTATGTGACTGCATTTTAAGACACGGTACAAAAACAGTGTGACGTGCACCATGTGGATAGTAATACATACAATACACATAATATGTAATTGAAGACTGTAACCTCAAAGCATGCGAGATAAGACACTCGTTGCACTGGACAGACCCAGGTGGAAAGACCGGTGCCGTAACGCTGTGGAAAAAGCACGGCGTAGGGCTGGTGCTTTAAACCTTCCCTCCGGCAGCTGCACTCGCAAGATCTGTAACCGCTTTTGTAAGTCTGGCATCGGACTCCTCGTCTCCGACGCGAGTAGCCATCAAACAATAAAACAGAATTCAAACCAACAAGACCTTAACAGTTATCCGTTTAAGCGACGGGGGAATCCAGAGGCATGTAAATAACGCTGATAATTTTCGTGTATGTACTGTATGCATGTTGAACTTATTTCGCACTGTACGTAGCCAACTGTGCTAATCGGAGGTGCGGGGAAGGACAACAGACTAAACACAAAAAGCAATTATAAAAAAAATCGTTTTCAATCTAGATTTAAGAGGTGCATAGCTCCATTGGCTGTTTACTATTGGAAGGAAGAGTGCTTCAGACGGCCACAGAAGTGCATCTGAAAGCGTGCGATGCGGTGACAGTCTTTGTTGGATAGCTAGCCAAAACCCGCTGCGGGGATGACCGGGGTTCACGTGATTGTTTATGCTCCTTGGCGAGATCAGCAAGGTATTGTGGTGAATTTGTGGCAAGCACTTTGTGTGTAATGAGTGCGACATTATAATTTGTTAATTCGGCAACCGGTAGCCAATGCAGCTCAGCGAGCACCGAGCGGACATGGTTGTAACTTGCAGTACCCGGCACGACATGTGCCAGACAATTTTGTAGACGCTGCAGCTTGGTAATGTTTATGCCAGACGTCCCGCACAGACCCCGCAGAGCAAGAACACTTAGTAGGTTTAAATAATAATAATTATAATAATAACGCATTTATATATCCAAGTGAGGAGGCAACACTGTAAGCTTCACACAGACTCAAGCAATCCCTTTGTTTTACGGCTGTGTCCTGGCCACCACTCAGCCCAAACCTACAACACCTGGTATTTCTAGACAGTGTCCTATCCAAGTACTAGCCAGGCTCAACCCCACGTGGATTCTGAGGTCTGATGACATTGAGCACACTCAGTCCAGTGGCAAGATATTAAATGCCTCGCCTGGTATACAGGAGGTCATGGGTTCAGCTTCGACCATGACGCTTGTATATTTGGAGTTTGCGTGTGTCTCTCCCCGTGGTGGCGTAAATTTTTCGCCAGGTCCTCCAGTTTTTCCCTCCACATTTAGAATCAACATCACGCGTTTGGAGGATTTGGCTGCTATACATTTCCACACGATATGCAACTTTGTTGAGCTATCATGTGTGGCTAGGTCGCTTCTGTAAAAGAGCTGTATAGCTCAAAGGGCCTTACCAGCTCCCCCACCCTACACTCAATATTATACATTTGCCACTTTCACAATAGTAAATTACATTATTTTCATGAAATATATCTGACAGTACGTAAAGCTTGAACCAAAGTTTATTCAGTTGACAAATGTAACAGGTGACTCTCGTCACCCGGTTATGTCTTGTGTGAGCAGCATCATCAACGGCTTTGCGCTGCCGCTCAAGGAGGAGCACAAGGTGTTCCTCCTCAAGGTGCTGCTGCCCCTGCACAAGGTGAAGTCCCTGAGCGTCTATCACCCCCAGGTGAGCGACCGTCTCCTCCGCGTGTGTGTGGTAGTACAGCGGTTTACGCGCTGCACTGCGTACCCGGCAACCCGAGTTCGAGTCCCACTCATGGCCAACACCGGTGATGAATATTTTACCCGGTCCTGGGGCTCTTCTAGGTCGACTCAGCCTCAAATAAGTACTTGGTGCGATGTGGAAACATCGCCACTGGGGGGACAAAAGTGGGTGGGCGTGGTCCTGGCCACCCACCTCCTCGTGTGCCGTGCTAGCCTTCATAACAGCACTTACCCCAACACGCTGTTAAGGCTATACGGGGAATCATTGTTTTATCACCCCCGAGGTGAACATTTCTCACCTGCAGTCACTCCCGGGTAAGCGAGCATCGCCTCCAGCTCTGTGTTCGTCACCCTTTGATTATCTTCACCCCCCCTCACCAACAATCTGTGATCCAAAAACCCCAATGTTTTCCACATAGGCAAACAGATGTTTTAACACACACAACAACACAGTTACAAACCTTGACAGGTGCAGGCATGGGAATACAGCTACAGCTGTGGCATACATAGCGACTCTATTCTACTAAACTATAAAACTAAACTCTATTTATTTTACCAGGTAAGGCCCACTTAGCTAAGTAGCTCTTTTTGAGAAGCGACCTGGCCAGTAGCTCAACGAAGTGGCTTATCTTGTGGAAATGTATAGCAGCCAAATACTCGAAGCGCATGCTTCTAGATGTGGAGGGAAAAAACGGAGGACCCAGAGAAAAATCCATGCCACCATGGAGAGAACATGCAAAGTCCAAATTAGAGGCCGACCGAAACTGAATTTCTGGTTTCGGCCGAAACCGAAGCCGAAACCGAAAGTTTAACTTCACTTTAGGCCTAAACCAAAACAGAAAGGTATATAACCGAAGTTACCAAATACAAGATTTATTAAATACTAGCTTTACTACCCGGCTTCGCCCGGGACTTGGATTCACCAAGGCCGACCGCCTTGGTCTCCCCAGTTGCGATGTTGACACACCACACCACTTACTCATTTGAGTCTGAGTCGACCTAGGGGAGGCCCAGGACCGGTTCAAATAATCGTCACCGGCCGTGAGCAGGAATCGAACTGGGGCCGGCGGGTTCGTAGCGCAGCGCGCGAATCGCTACGCAGTCTCAGCCCCCCCACACAGGATAAAGACAAAGATCCCCCGTGTAGCCTGTGAGACTGTAGGGGGCAAGTGCTGTTAGCGAGCGCCTATGAAGGCCGGCACGGCACACGAGGGGGTGGGTGGCCAGCACCACGGTCGGCCGCCTTTGTCTCCCCAGTGGCGATGTTGACACCACACCAGTTACTCGTTTGAGGCCGAGTCGACCTAGGGGAGGCCCAGGACAGGTTCAAATATTCGTCACCGGCCGTGAGCGGGAATCGAACTCGGGCCGCCGGGTTCGTAGCGCAGCACGCGAATCGCTACGCCGTCGCTTCGCTCCCCCCCCCCCCCCAGGTGCGTGACGTCATTTATTGACGGCCCCAGACCATGGTTGCGGCTGTAACCTCGCTCGCTAGCTGCTGGTGCTGCTGACGTGTGTGTACGTGTGTGTGTGTGTGCAGCCTATCGCATAGAATTGCCTAGCGCCGACTAACCAGCTGATAGACTTTGCACTAGCGTTACATTCTAAAATAGATCTTCAATTGACGACCAAAAGTCAACATCAGTTTCGGCCGAAACCGAAACTAGACCGAAAGTAGAAAATTTACTTTCGGCAGAAACCAAAAGTATGCCGAAAGTGGCCATTTGCCAACTTTCGGCGCCGACACCGAAACCGAATTTCGGTCGGTCTCTACTCCAAATATACAGGCGTCAGGGTCGGGATCTAACCCGCATCCTCCTGTATCCCAGGCAAGGCAGTTAACATCTCACCACCGTGGCGCCAATGCACACGCGCATGCACTGCATATACTGGGAGTCATATGTGAAAGCGTGAGGTCACCATGGCAAGGGGAAGTTGGTTTGGTGGGTGTAAAAAAGGGGCTGGAGAAGTCACGATTCGGGACATCGCTGTGAAATGCATGGGCAAGGTGGAATGTTTGTCTCAAGTTGTTTACGTTAAATGGGAGTGCGGATTAAAGTTACGTGGCTTAACGACCCGGCTGCTTTGTGCTGTACCTCCAGCTGGCGTACTGTGTCGTGCAGTTCCTGGAGAAAGACAGTACCCTCACAGAGCCAGTGAGTACATCATCATCATCACCACCATCATCATTAAGGTGACATCTTAATTTTCAACATCATACTTTTTATCATCATCACGTGGAGGGACCATTCTAGAAACCAGATCGTACTGCTTCATGGAGACCAATGGAGTGCAGACATAAGAATACGCCTCTCTCTTCCCATCTCTCCACGTGGGAGTGGCAGCAGCAACAGGCTTGAGGGCCTGGGGAACGTTACTGAAGGAGACATAGGCGACTCCTGGTGATGTGCGGGGTTAGGCGTGGGTACACTGCGAGGGATGAGCTCGACGAGCGGAGCGTCAAGGGAAGACGAATTGTAGATGAGAGAGACGGTGGTTGCGATGTTACTCGTGGTGACGGGCTGGGAGATATCGATGGAAGGTGGGGCGGATGGTGGAACAATAAGCAGCATTCCTAAATTTTTCCACTTTTCGGAGGGATAGGAGAGGATTTGACACCTGACATCAGGAGTGGCGGGAGCCCTGCTGGGATCTTTGGACACAGGAGGGAACTTAGCAATGCTGGAAAAAAGATTTGAGGTGTACAGCAGCATCAGCAATTAGGGCAGCAATACAAATTTTCACAAAGCCACGCTGATGAGCCTGAGCCTTCCACACGAGGTAGTTAATTTCTATACCAGATTTCTTCCATTACTTCTCGACTTCAACCATTGATGTTCCGCTCGTGGAGGGGGAGGGCAGGTGGTGTCCCAGAGGGCTGAGGAGAATCCAAGATAGGTGGGAATAAGTCTTCAGGGAGACGTGAGCGTTCAGAGTAGTGGCAACGGTAGGATCACTGTTCACCGTAAGGTTTTTATGGTCCGTAAATCTAAGGTTTCTCATTCTCTCCTCCGCCCCTTTTTCTCTCTGTCCTCCCTTTCTCTGGGTCTGTCATTCTCTATCTGCATCTCTCTGATTTTTCTGCCTTTCCACCCCTTTCTGTCTCTCTGCTCCTGCCTCTCCCTCTCTTCATTTTTGTCTACCTCTCCCTAATTCGACCCTCTCTGTTTCTCTCCGCCTCTGACTTCCCATCTCTCCACTCACCCATTTGTAATATCCCTTCTCCTTTCCCGTATCTCCCCCGCTCTCTCCGTCACTCTCTCCCATCCTCTCGCTAGTCGTGTGTGCTCGCCGTGTGCGTGATCGCGCGATTGCGTGTGTGTGTGTGTGCGCTTGTGCGTCTGCGAGGTGGTGATGGCGCTCATGAAGTTCTGGCCCAAGACTCACAGCCCCAAGGAGGTGATGTTTCTCAACGAGCTCGAGGAGATTCTCGACGTCATTGAGCCGGCCGAGTTCGTCAAGGTCATGGAGCCGCTCTTCAGGCAGCTCGCCAAGTGCGTGTCCAGCCCTCACTTCCAGGTGAGCGTGCTTGGGCGTGTGTGTGTGGGTGTGCGTGCATGTATGGGTGTGTGTGCATGCGTGGGTGTGCTTGGGTGTGTGGACTTGCTGATCGATGACTGGTACCAGCGGTGTTAAGATCGGTCTCTGTGGTGGAGGCTCATGAAGGACGTTACTGAGCCGTTGGAGGCAGTCTCCCTCCAACATCAGCAGAGGGCTGAAGAGCAATGCTCACAACAATGAGCAGAGCGGCAGGTTTCTAAAACACAGCAGGTTGGCACAGTAGAGGGCACCAGTGGTGCATCTCCCAGTCATCTCAGTCATTCAACCCATGGCACTTCGGTTTGTCCCGTGACCCCCTGCCACCTCGCGTGGCCTTAAAGTACGCACAGACCTGGTACAAACGTCGTGGTGATGTCACCGCCACTTAGTAGTGAATGGCGATTTTTGTGAGTGTGTGTATGTATGGGTGTGTGCGGGTGGACTTGTGTGTAATCTGTATGTCTGTGTGTGAGTATTTGTAAGTGGCAAAGTGGTTAGCGCACTGCTCTACGAACCTGGCGACCCAAGTTTGATGTCCGTTTATGGACAACATCGACTCGCCCTTTACATGAGTACCCGGTGTGGTGTGTCAGCATCACTTGGGGGACGAAGGTTGCCGGACGTGGTGTTGGCCACCAATCTCCTCGTGTGCCGTGCGAGCCTTTTTTAGGTGGTCACGAACATCACTTGCCTCAACAGTCTGTAAAAAAAAAAGCTGTATATGGTGGGGGATCTTTGCTTCATTTGTGCATGTGCATCTTCCAGTCATCTCGGTCAACGCTTTACACCTGGGTCTGTTTTGTCACCCGCCAGCGAGCCTGTTGCACTTCACGTGATGGCCTCACCACCGTTTAGTGGAGTGAGGCGACTGTTGCTGGCGGTACGGGGGGGTGCGTGGGTAGGTCTGTCTTCGTGCCTGGTAGCGTGTCGCAGGGACACGTGCAGGCGATGCGAGCGTGAAATATTTTAAGTTGGGGCACCATGGTGGCTTGGTATGTAGGAGGTTGTAGTTTCGATCCTGACCCTGCCACCTGTATATTTGGAGTTTGCACGTTCTCCCAATGGTGGTGTGGATTTTTCTCCCGGTCCTTCCGGTTTTTCCCTCTACATTTAGAAACATACGTTGAGAGTATTTGGCTGCTATACATTTCCACATGATAAGCCACTTCGTTGAGCTTTCATTTGTGGTAGCCAGGTCGCTACTGAAAAAGAGCTATATAGCTCAGTCAGCCTTACCTGGTAAAATAAAAAAAATAGTTTATAGTTTATTCCAAAATATTGGGATGTGTTCTTCGTGGAGAAACTGAATGATCCGCTGAGTGTGGTGCTGGGCTGGCGCAGGTGGCGGAGCGCGCTCTCTACTACTGGAACAACGAGTACATCATGAGCCTCGTGAGCGACAACGCCGCCAAGATCCTGCCCGTAATGTTCCCGTCGCTCTACCGCAACTCCAAGAGCCACTGGAACAAGTGAGGCAGAGTCCGCCGCCGCTGCTGCCACCGCCACCATCCATGCGGGGGTGTCCACACGCTCGTCTGCTCGGAGCCCCCGACTCACAGTTTCAAAGATTGCGAGTTCCAATCTGGCTTGGGGGGGTTGACTTAGCCCAGGGGGTCAGCAACCAAAATGACAAGAAGAGCAATTTTTTTTTTCAAATTCGGTAAAAAATACTCAAGAGCCACACTGGGTTCTTAATAAATTAGTCACGAAGCGGTCCTCGAAAGGCCGCATGCGGCTCCGGAGCCAAAGGTCGCCGCCCCTGACTTCGCCTATCGTTCCCCTAGGGTCAATAAAATGGGCTCACCTCTGTTGAAAGTCCTGAGTGGTTGTCGTAAGAATATGGACCTGTTATAAGAACGTGGAAATTCCACCACTGGCTTAAGACCGTAAATCAGATGAGCGCATCCTGGCCTTTAAAGGTAATTTACCTGTTTACCCTCATCGCTTATTATTTTGTTAACAACAACCCCTACTCTGATAAACGCTACTTTTTGGTGGCCCCCCATGGTTCAGGGCTGTCACCAACAGCTTAAGCCGCTCTATAGCATTGGTTCAAGGGACTGCACTGCGCTGACGAGATCCTGTAACGTTGAGACCACTCTAGGGCATCGTCTGATTGAATCAGTCATGACTGGGAAACTGGTTCAGAACAAAACAAACGAGAATAAATGGGATTAAATGCAAATTTATATGCGGATGTTGATGAGATGCCTTACTCAGTAAGTTATTAATTTAATTTAAAATGAAAAATTGTAGGTAATGCAAATGAACAAATGCTGTCAATGTAACACGCTCCTAGCGTCTCTACCTCCCAACGAATCAATTGCCAGTATGAATCATGCACTTATACTGATTACAGCACTCGTCCACCTCCCAGCAACCCGCTTGCTCACTCATCCAACAACATATTCACCTACTTATTCACTCACCCATTCACTCACTCCCTTACCCAACCATGCACGCATTTTCCCGCTGACTCTGCAACTCGCTTGCCCACCTACTGCTCGCACACCCACCCACTCGTACACACGGCCACTAACCTCTTTGGCACTCGCCCATTTACCCCTCCACCCACTCGGTCTTCCACCCAGTCACTCGCTCGCCCACTTTACCCGCACACACACTGTTACTCTCCCACACACTCAAATTATTGTGTGACTTATGCTCCCTGCGCTGCAGGACCATTCACGGGCTCATCTATAACGCACTGAAGCTCTTCATGGAGATGAACCAGAAGCTCTTTGACGACTGTACACAGCAATACAAGGCAGAGAGGCAGCAGTAAGCAACTCCTGTGTGTGTGTGTGTGTCCACTCGTGTGCGTGAGTCACGGCAACTCGGTGCTACGCATGCTGCATCAACAAACAACTCAACAACACATTCGCCAATAAAACACCGTGGTCTGATAAGGAAAAATTTCTAATAAGTGACTATAGGGCAGTGGCCCTTCACAGCACAACATGTGCTATGAAGTGGGACCATTGCCCAAATTGTCATCAATTTATATATCTTTTTCATTTTAAGGTCACAGTGTTATTGACAAATGTTCAGATTCGGTTTTGTTATTTGTTGCTTGTGCACCGCTACCACCGCAGCATTATCAAAATAATTCCATAATCGGAAGGTTGCGAGGTCAAATCCTCGTCAAGGGGCTGACTCGGCACATCGTCCTTTCGGGATCGGGTGAAATGAGCACGACCAAGTGGGGAAATCAGGGATCGTCCTTCACGGAGACTGTGCCCCACCATGAGAATGTGGAATTTGCGGACCTGCCTCGGGGCCTCCTTCAGAGATGAGTGCCACTGCATTGCTCGCTTTATCAGGGAGATAGTAACTGATGATCAGCATTTGTCGCTCCAGCTTGTGATATCCCTGAGCGTCCGTGCGTGCGTCTCACAGCGATGACGACCAATCTCATGTTGCTGCCGCCACCTGGTTGAGTAATGTCCGTGGTGCCAGGTGGGGTTTGCGTGCCTCCTTTTGTGTGTGTGTGTGAGATGTGTGGTTTCAGCCATCGTCTTTTCACAGGGAAAAACTAAAGTTAAAAGACCGCGATGAGGCGTGGACAAAGATTGAGTCTCTTGCAAAGACAAACCCACAGGTGAGGCCTCACACCCTAGCCGGGCAGTGGTGGTCGCCGCTGAAGGCGGTACAGCAATATGTGGGCCCTGCGCCTGTTCCGTCTGTATGGGATGGTGTTTCCCCCACGCACGAGCCTATTCTTTCAGGGTACAGTAAAACCTTGGATTGCGAGCATAATTCGTTCCCGAAACGTGTTTGTAATCCAAAGCACTCGTATATCAAAGCACTCGTGTATCAGTTGTGATCACGTGACGCTCGGCAGACAAAGCGTATACGTGCGACCTGTTACAAATTGAAGTGAATATTAGTGACATGGGTAACATGCTAGCCTAGCTACGTTTATTACACATCAGGCACGGGGGAGGGAGGATTAAAGCAAGGCTTACACAAGCAACACATTAACTAGGCAGGTGGCATGCTAGATGCAAAGGTCCAACTCCAGCTACAAAGGTAACCCGCCAACTTTATTCAAACATTCCATTCGTGCCCTTGGCATGGCGTCGCAAGACGAAGGCATTTCCACGTTAAACTCTCGTAGCCAGCGGCGTGACATCACACCGTGTCGGAGACATCCCCCAACAAACGACATCGCAGAACTGCGACTGACGTCACTTCAGTCGACTTCTCATTCACCCCGGTTGGTGCCTCACTTTTGCGTGCCCCCCACAAAGATACCTGACTGCAAGAAGATCAAACGAAGCAACATTTAAAAAACCACGTGGAATGCGGTGGTTAATTGGTGACCGGGCTGAGACCACCAACTCCACTGGACCTGAGAACGCGGTTTAGCCGCGGGCCGCCTTCCCCGGGTGGAACGCAGCATCTGCTCAGATGCAGCGTTAGCCCCTTGAGCCGCCCGACCACCTCTTATCTTGCTACAATTTGAACTCTCTTCACTCGCTGACGAGCTCTCCCGCCCTATTCCTCTCGTTGCCGCGGCGAGCACTCGTTCAGTACCAGACGCGCCTGCAGCAGGACCTGAACGGCGCCGTGGTCTCCATGGAGACGGACACGCCCTCCGCCGAGGACATCATCCAGCTCAAGAAGTCGATGGAGACGGAGGCCATGCAGGTGGGCACAGACTCGCATGAATGGACTAGCGTGCACTAACTCGCACGCACAAATTAGACAAAGATCCCCCATTTAGCCCCTCAGTCTGTTGGGGTCAGGGACGGTGCACGAGGGAATGGGGTGGCTGGCACCACACAGAGTCGCCTTTGTCTCCCCAGTGCTGAAGTTTACAACCTAGGTACTCGTTTGATTATGAGTCATCTTAGGAGAGGCCCAGAACCGAGTTAGGTATTCATCATTGATGTTGCCTGTGAACATTTAGCTTAAGTAGTCGGATCCGTAGCACAGTGTGCTACAAAACACTACACTACTACCTCCCAGAAGATTGTACATGCACACAACAACAACCACCGATCTTCACCACTGAGTGACGGTAAAGTAACTGCAGCACTTGTGGCAGGCGAGGTGCACTGTGAGGCCACGTGAAAGCGTTGTTATGGGAAACTAACAGCTGCCTGGGCATGCGGTGGTTGGGCATGTAGGCTACGTGTCACAATCAAGGCAACTTTGCCTGCCAGAGGATCTGTGAGCTGCTTACACAATGCAGGATTGAGCACAGGCAGGCCAGCCTGAATGTACAGATTGCAAATCGACAGATAAAATGCTTAACGATGATGACAGTGTGAGTTCTTGCTCCGTGGATGTTCAGAATTTGGCCACGATGAGAGCCTTTGCAGTGGATTTACAAACTCGCTGAAGCAGTTGTCCTCATCTGCTGTCTGTGTGCCGAGTGCTTGCAGACCAATTAGCTCAAAGGCTCCACGTGTACGCATGTGTAACGGTGATGTGTATACACATGAACCCACACGTGCGCATGCCGACAATCGAAGCACTGTTGGAAAGTAAATTGATGCTTATGGCAGCGCTGTCTATGGCATTTCTGATAACAGTGGCTGGCTGATACTGTAGTAAGGTAACGCACGTAAAAATCATGCTGCTGCTGATGATTATTTTGTTGATGACTATGTATGACGCGGTTGATGGTGACACCAACGATGCTGGCAATACCACGGAAACGTAACGACGCACGTAACGCTGACGGCCGCGCTCGTCGCGGCGATGACGACGTTGGTGATGATTTTATTTCTGTCAATCGCCTGGCGTCGCCGACGACGGAGAGCACCTCGGGCTGCGTCGCGACAATTCACACGTTGCTCCGCCCTGTTCGCGCCTCCTCCTCCCTCCTCTCGCCGCCACCGCCATCCGCAGTGCGTGCAGCCACCCAAGCCCGAGGTGAAGAAGGTTCTCCTGCGCCGCAAGTCGGAGCTGCCCCAGGACGTGTACACGATGAAGGCGCTGGAGGCGCACCGGCGGGCTGAGGAGTACCTCTCCACCTCGCCCGAGACTATGTGAGGGGGGTACGGCGGGGGGGGGGGGGTACGCTAGAGTAGGGAGGGGTTGGCGGAGGGAGGGTGGGGAGTTTGGGGGACGACGGGGGGGGGGGAAGGAAGTAGGTTCTGATGCAAGGAATTCAGAATCGGGCGATTTATACTGGAAGAATCTGATGAGCTATAAACCTTTTTTTTTATAGATGTCCAATAGGGGCGGGTAAGAACGTTACAACAACAAGCAGTACAAAAACACGATAGTATAGTGGGGGCAGGGAAGGGAGCATTAAAACAAGGGGTGGCCAGTTTCAGTCATGCGCGCAATTAACGGCTACAGTAGTCCCTCGTTACGTGCGTGGGATACGTTCTGGAGATGCTCGTGAATGAGTTGCCTGAAATAAATAAACTTATGAAATCGATTAAAATGATCATCACAAAAAAAATTGGTTTTAAACATAAAGTAAATGAATATGAAAGTATTGAATAATAGTTTATGAATGAACTTACCCCATCATCACTTTATCTGATTACTTTCTCACATCACATTCTCTCTCATCACTTTCTTTCGATGCAGTCAAGGCGATTTGCAGATAGGCAAAATCGTGGATAGCATGTCTGCGCATAACGAGGGAATACTGTACAAATAACGGTGACGTGGGCGATCAAGGTGAGGATTATTTGATCGGTTGTCTGCAGAGGAAAATGCAGCCCAGCTCAGGGTGGCTGTTGTTTTGAACGTGCGTGTCAAGGCTGCACTTGTGGCCAAGTCACCTGGCATGCTCCCAGTCCCATCAGATGTCGGAAGCCATGCCAAGGCCCTGCACCCTGGGCTGTCCGTCACGATTTCGAAGTTTTGTAAATGAGAATATTGAGCCGAAATTCGCACAGCCGCACGACTGGCGCACTGCGATTAGCGCCTCTATGGTGGCGGCATTCTAACGACTTCCTGGAGGACCCCAGAGCTTGGGGGGGAGATTAGGCGCCGGCTCACCACTGCCTGCCTGCTGCTGTCGTTCTGCTCGGCTGTGGTTCATCTTAGTGTCTGCGATTAGTTTTTTTCTCTTCGACAGTGAGCGAATACTGTGCGGCACGTTCCAAGTTTAAATTATTATTATTATCACTGCAGAGGGCTGTGTTGATGACGAAGGAAGTAATCTGCATGGTTTGCCATTGGCATTCTCTGTCGTACAAGACATCATGACTCTCAGAGAGTCCTTGCCTGGTTGACCCGAGGACATTTTTGATATCTTCTGCTTTGCGCAGAATGCTGCTTTCTGCGTGTGTGTTGATGTATGTTGAAATTATTTTGCACCGTACGTATCCGACCATGCTAATTGGAGGTGTCAGCAAGGCACTGTAGAGAGCCAAGTGGCTCGGCCAAAGAGCGAATGGCTCGCAATTGGAAGGTTTGCGAGTTAATATCCTGGTCTGGCATCGACTCGGCACATCATCCATCCGAGGGCTGATAAAATAGTACCACTTTCGTGGGAAGTCAATCGTGGTTTTCTGAAAAATGGATTTGGCCCCGCCTTAAGAATGTAGAATGCCCACCACTGCCACAGGGCTGTAAATAGATCAGTACCGTCTCCATCGTCATTTCAGCAGAAAATCGCTTTGCGTTGAGTCTTGCCCACCATTAACTTCAGTTAATTTCATTGCTAATTATATTTTCTGGGTGACAGCTCATTGATAGATATATATGAACGGTCTCATTTGCAAGGAAAGTCTGTGCAACAGGATGCCACGGTGGTGAGATGTTAACTACCTCGCTTGGTATAACAGGAGGTCGTGGTTTTGATCCCGACCCTGACGCCTGCTGTATATTTGGAGTTTGCATGTTTTCTCCCCGTGGTCGCGTGGATTTTTCCTCGGGTCCTCAGGTTTTTCGCTCCATATTCGGAATCAACATCACGCGTTTTAGAGGTTTTTGGCTGCTCTACATATCCACACAATGATCCACTTCATTGAGCTATCAATTGTGGCCAGGTCGCTTCTGAAAAAACTACATAGCTCAGTGGACCTTACCTGCTAAAATAAAATTAGTTTAGTTTCTAAGTTTTTTACAGTACCGTACAGGGAAATATATCGTCCATTCCACGTACACCTAACTCGGCTTTGCATCCGAGGTCATCCGACGCACATGTGAAGCTTCTTGAATAAGAAGGCCAGGCTGGTGAGGCGACCAAACACTTGCGTCGCTGCCTTGATCCCGCTATGTTGAAAGAGCGCCGACTAACCGTGCAATTCTCTTATTGTGTCATCGACAGAGCCTCAGCCCTTGGACACACTGCCTAGGCGCTCGCACACCTGCAAGATAAGAGCTGCCCGTTGGTGCGTTGCGTCTGCCCCAAATGGTTACTTGGGTTTCTGCAGCCAGTTTTTTAGTTTTCCTCCGAAATGTCACGTGATTTGGCTTTTGACACCGCACACAACGGCGGCGGCAGGGGCAACGATGACGATGCCGGTCTCTTTCACGCCCCGCTTTCACAGCGGGACCTGGCTTCCGGGCTACGGTATTTTTCCCTTGCAAAATTCACTTCGACTCGACCGTGAGAAGTCAACAACGGCCGGCGGGGAACGCGCTCGCGCAAGGCCGTCCGTCCGCGGTGTCGTCGTCGCGTCGGTCGTTGCGTTGCGAAATCGCTGCCTCGGATCCCCCCCCCCCCACCCTTTGTGAAGAGATGGTGAATCTCTAGGCATGTTCTCAACCTGGTTTTAGAATATAGAACGTCCCCTTCATTCGTTAACTGCGATTCTGATCAACTCGGTTTCTGGCGGACTGTGACTTGATATGCGATCGTCGAAAAAGCCTAGACTTGAAATTTTACACAATGAAGGCCTCTTGCTGTCACCGCGCAGCTCTCTCACGAATTCGCTCTGAAATCGGAGAAATCTCCAATCTCCATGTCACCAGAGAGGAAACGAAGTTGATGCATAACTCTAACCCAGCAACAGCAGCCGCGCGGAGATGGGATTGGTGGATCACGCAGGGATTGGAGCCCTCACGACAATGATCGTGATGAGACGCCTGCATGCGGGGCAGCAAAAGGTGTTGCCTGTTTGGTAGGCAGTACAGCAAGTAGGCGTGCAGCAGGCTGTCCGTGCTGCTGCAGTGAGATAGGTTTTCTCCCCTCGTGGGTGGCGTTCTTCAGGCTGCACGAATTGGCCACACGACCCAAGTGGTGGGGCATTTCCCTGCAAATATTTTTCAAAGTGCTGAATGAAATTTTCCAATATTCATATGCAAAGAAAAGCCTACGGCTTGCAAACTGAAAAAAAAAAAACACATCAGGACTGCATAAATACGTTGATTTAAAAGTGCAACGGGACACTTGTGTGACGTGTTCTGCACGTCTGCGGCACCTGTTGTGATCCAGCGGAGCTCTCCCTGCGTTCTGGGTTATGGTTTCACATCGACCAATGGGATCCGGCCGTGATTTCTGTCGGAGCCAAGACGGGGCAGGAGTGACGGCGCACGCGAGACTTCGACTGCGAACGCAAGCGTTCAATATTTTACGCCGTCAAATTCCGAGAGTCTCTGGCTCCCTAATTGCCGTCGGGCTTTAGTGGTGGTTCCCGGCGCTCGTAGAGCCAGTCCGAGGCACTTGCAGGGATGCTCGTTTAACGTACGAGGCTTACAAAGCCAGATGAAGGCAGCCTCAAGATGTATCTGGGCTCAGTGCTGATGCCTGTTGGCCTGGCTTCCCCCTGCCCCCACTCGCAAAGTGCCCGCTCTTGTTTTGTCTCCGACAAAAGTGACGGTGAGTTGGATCGCGCTCGGCCTGCGAGTCGAAGTACTCCGACGTTGGCTTTTCAGAGCTGGGCTACAGTTATGACGAGGTAGTGTGTCATCCGGTAAACTTCACCCTCCCCCCCCGTGTTCCCGTGTTAATACAGCGCAGTTGCACTCGACAAGGTGAAGTATAAAGAAAACGTATATGGTAACAATAATGTATTATAAACAATGTTATAAACAATGTTAGCCGTGTAAGATAGGCTCTTGGAAGACGTTGCGGGCTAGGGCGTGTCGTGGACTGTGTTGTTCTGCATCGAGACGTTCGGCCGCTGTCCGTATGGGAATCTTAAAAATGGATTAAAAACACAAAATAATGTTTTGCCATGTGCCTCCGACACCAAAAGCACAATTGGTATATAATCGATGAATCAATGTTTTGTGGGACAATGAAACAAATATAGTAATAACTTAATAAACGTGAAACTAAATTCTCTACTTGACTGTAACCACTGCATCCGAGCCGGCCAGCACACCGCGCCCCCTCCTAGGTGAGCCATTCCCTTCGCCCCACGCTGCCTCCACCACCCACGAGGAGGTGCCCACCCCCGGAACGTCGCGTGGGAAGTGTTTCGTCTCCATGGCTCCCAAACGAGCAACGCAGGTGGACCATGCTCCTTCTGAGCGAACCTGAGCCAGCGGTGGAAATTCAGCGTTCCCACGGCAGTAGCCGCGTCTCTCCACACGATGACCACTCGTGTCTTCCCGCAAAGTGGGGCTCGCTTAATTGTTGACGTCAGAAGACGCGACGGGCCGAGTCGGCTTTTCGCTGGGACTTGAACTCCCGCCGCGTTCCACTTATAACATAGAGCATTCTAACCCCGGTGCCAGGCGGCCAGATACACTCCCATTGCCGTATTGATCCGATTCCCTCCCCCGGTCTCCCCCCGCACCACGATAACGGGCCCCTCTCGGCGGGGGGGGGGGGCTTGTAGCCGTGCATCAATCTGCCCCACGGTCCACCTGTGGACTTCAGTCTTGGTGTCTGCGCGCATCCACGTAAGTGCGAGCGCGTGAGTGTGAGTGAGCGCATGAGCTCGCATTGTCGACACTGGCCGATGGTGCAGCGAATCGCGCACGGTGGGCCTGGCTTCTATTCTCGACCGTGATGCGCAACGCCGCCCGCAAATGTCATCTTGAACGCGATTTTTAGCCCTCCCCCCTAGGTGGACTCAGCCTGGTGAGTTTTTTTTCCAGTGCGGTACTTGAACACCCCGGCATTGGAGAGACGAAAGGTGGATGGCACTTGTCCTGGCCGCACCGCCGATTTGTGTGGTGCGCGATGGCCTTAATAGGCGCTCGCTTAACAGCACTACTCGCTGTACAGGCTGTGTGGGAAAAGGGTGCATATTTTGGTGTTGTCATGTGGTTACAAAGCAAGCACATCGTGCTGCAGTCTGGGCAACCTGGGTCCAATTCCATGTTTACGGCGCACACAGTCTGCAAGTGGTCACCGAGCCTGGCCTGGGTCTGCAACGAAGTGGATCCGGCCTAAAAGAAGTAGCGCCAATTGCGGTGGTGGTGTGGTCAAAGGCCGACGTGGCGTGTGTGATTCTGGCCTCGCCATGCTCCACGTGCGGGGTGTTAGCTTTACCTGGTGCTCGCTTAACAGCACTTGCCTCCCCGGCATAGTGTCAGGCTGAGCTTCTGTTGGTCGGCTACTTTTAAATGTTCTTTGAAATGAGCACTCATTCTTGCGATTCCAAGCCCTTGCTCAACATGCCTACTAAATTTCACTCACATGTAAAGTGGCGAGATGGCGCGGTGGCGAGATGTGAACTTCCTCGCCTGGTGTTCAGGAGGTCGTGGGTTCGATCCCGACCCTTGACGCCTGTATTATTTGGAGTTTGCATCTTCTGCCCGTGGTCGCGTAGATCTTTCCCTGGGTCCCTCCGGTATTTCCCTCCACATTTGGAAACATGCGTTTAGAGTATTTAGCTGCTATAAATTTCCCCCGATAAGCCACTTCGTTGAGCTATCATTTGTGGCCAGGTCGCTTCTGAAAAAGAGCTACATCGCTCAGTGGGGGCCTTACCTGGTAAAATACAATGCTTGGTTTAGAAAGCTTACATATATCAGGTTGTGGCTCCTATTCCATAGAACTTGAGCTGCAAACTCTTCAGCCACCTCATATCTTGACGTCAAAGGGAAGAGGCGGCCGCTGAGTATGCGGCTCTTGCCGTGTGGATAAACCTCGCCCTCCATGCGTTCGAAGCTTAGGTGAGGAAGGGGGAAAACAAAAACGAGCATAATTTTATTTCAGCCGATTGAATCTGTGCAACTTCCACATCTTCCCGGTGATGAATCACCCTGATCTATACAATTGACGGCGTGAAAGTTGTTATTGAGGTGGTTACACATTTTTTTTATTAAGTAAATGAGGCAAAAAGTGCCCGAATTTGGTGGCATTGACGGTGGCTGATTTCTCACTGGTATCGCTCATCTCGTGACCACGTCAATCATCCCATCGCCATCATTGACATCGTCATTTCCCGTGACATTTACAACGGTGGCACAGATTACACATGACACGGGGCACTTGCTGTCACCGATAGTCGTATGCCCTCGTCAAGAGATGCGCAATTTGTGGTTAATTGTAGGGCAGGGAAGTCTGCTGCGCACACCCAAACGCCGCTGCCATGGTTACGGGTATATTTTGCGCGTGTGTGTGTGGGAAAAGGTGTAGGGGCGTGAACTGTGTCACCGTGGCCCGCTTTGAACCAATCGGCTCTCAAGAACGAACAATCCCGAGCGTTGAGATTGAGCAAAACGATGTTGTTGGTTTGTGTTCCGGTGTGTGAATTTGGTGTGACGGTCGTTGCCGCCTGAGTGGCTCTGCGCGGATCGCCGTGCCGCAGCAGGGAGCCAGCGCCACCGACAATCCGACTTTGAATCTCGGTGTTTGTCCGAGCCGCTCGCCCGTGATGTCAACCGGGTTCCCAGGTGCCGTCACCTAATCGTCGCCCAATTCAACCTCTCGCCGTGGCCCGCCCCTGTCCGGAGAATCCCATCGCTCGGAGAATCCCATCACGCGTGCGATGGGATTGATGTGCCGTGCCCGTTCGTTCCGAGCGGAGGAGGAGGAGGGAGGGAAGGCAGGCGGGCAGGCTCGCCGCCTCGTGTCGAGTAAGAGAGGCCAGCCCAAGTGACAGTCTGTGTTGTGCAAGCCCTTCTACAACTCATCCACTCGGTCTCCGATTTAGCGCGGTTGGCTACGTACACTGCGAAAGAAGTTTAACGTACATAGATATCACTCTGGCCTCTGTGTATGAAATAGGGGCCATTGCCCGAAACGTCGCCTGTTGTATATGTTTCATAAAGGCCACAGTGGGTTCAACGGCGAATGTATTCACGTTTGGTTGTTGGCACATTTAGCTTGGCTGCAGTGGCCACAGTCTTCCAGGGCCCTCCGCTGGCGGCGTGGATTCCGTTCTCGATGCCTCTGCCTCGTGACCCCGCTGTGCTGTTGCAGCAGTAGCAGCACAATTGTGGGGACGATTTGGCGGTGACGTTTCAAAGGAATAGCAATGGAACTGTGTGCGGTGAAGACTTTCTCGCGATCCTCACCACTCCGGCGACTGTCCCCCTGGTCCCGAGGCCTGCCCCAAGGCAGCCCTCGTTTAGCCTCGGTGCTGAGACACGATTCTGTGTGCGCGCGTGTGTGTGTGTACATGTGCATATTATACACAGGGCGGCGTGTGTGTGACGGGTTACGTGCACGTCTGTTCTAACACGCTACATAATAATACAAGGGTGCTGTTAAGCGGCAAAAAAACCTTTTCACGCGTGATGTAAACTTATTCGGCGCATAATAACAACAATAACGGTCGTGGTGATGATGAATAAAGACGTTTCCGTGTGTGTAAAATGAAAGTTTGAAGGCTTGTATATGAATAACAGTTGAATAATAATACAACCCACGTGTTGTTTTGGAAGCGATCAGATTGTCCGCTCTTAGCACGGGGGGTTGGAGGGGGACGCCAGTTTTAATATTTGCAATAAACACGTGAACGTCATTGTTGTCGACGTCTGAACTCCCCGTTGTATCATTGCGGGTGCGTGGACAAGGCGTTCGTGGAGCGGGTTGGAGTTGCGGCGGCTGGGTGGGGATCACGTGGGGAGAGCAGTGGGTGGGGGGCACTGGCGGAGCCATTGGAGGGTGGCACGTGCCCCCCCCCCTCCCCCATTATCCGATCGAAATCCCTAATTTCGATCGGATCATTGGGGTTTATTAGTAATAAATCGCCATTTTGCGACCCCCACTGCCACTGTGTAGCATATTATTACGTGCCGGGGACTCTATGAGATGATAGGACAATAGTCTGAGTCCATGATTGGCAATAAGTAACGGCAAAGCAGTTATAAGCGACTCACAGAATTGTGCGCAGTTGCATGTACAGTATGTGACTTCCCTGAAGGCATCAACACCTTCAGCGAGTGTGATGCCGATCACAACGCGGTTCGCAATTCGACCCTCGATCGATGGCTGCGCCATCGCCGCACGCGCGTCGAATAAATATGAAGGGACAAGTCCTTGCTTACTAACAACTCCTTACCAACAACTCCTCTATCATTTTTCATTGCTGGAGGGGTTTCCCCTCCCCCTACCTGAAGATCCTTGCTCCGTCACTGGGGGGTGGGATGGGGGGCGGTGGCCGGGTGAGATGGAGCAGGGGGGAAGGATTTTCTGCGAGAAGCCGGCGCATGATGGGGCGACTTGACCTGTATTGGCAGAGTCGAGCTGAGCCGAGTCGATGGAAGGTGCCAAAAGAGGAACGGCCACGAGGTGATTCTCTAATTGTCAAATGGTGGTCGATCTCTTCAGAATAGAACGCGAGAACAGGGGTCGGTAACTTGCGGCTCTTTATGGATCGCTTTTGTGACCGTTGTTTAGTCAAGGACAATCACCGTCTCGTATTCACGCGCATTGCCACTTGTTATTTTAGTTTGCTCAGCTCCCCGCCCCCCCCCCACCGCGCCAGATCGAGCCTGGGACAGCAGTGGCGACAGAGCCCTGAGCAGGGACGAGGCGCCCAGAGCCTTGGCAGACTCGGCTCGGACAGTTTTTGACCAGGGAACAACCTCCCGGGGTGAATAGTTTGGCGACCTGCGACGAAGGGTGCTGCAAGGAAGCTTCTGTGCACAATCAAAGAGACGGTGGAGTGCACGGGGAACGAAGTCGACAGAGTGGTGAAGCAGATGGACTCGAGTTGAGATTTTGACGTCGCTACAAACCACGAAGTGCATCGTGTGGTGCACGCGGGATTGGCGATGCGAGTGGCTCGCACTATTCCGACTGGTTTCTGACTCCCGGTGGCGGCACGCGGCATCCAAACGAATCCTGGCCACCCCCTAGGCCAAGAGGCTGGGGAACAAAAATAAAACATTTATAATTCGGTAAAAAAAAATCAATACTTCAAGAGCCACAATGCACTGTGGTGGTGGTGAATACGAAACGGTGGTGGTCCTCAAATAAGTAACGGTCACGAAGCAGTCCTTAGAGCCGCAGGTTGCGGACCCCTGCCCATGGTGAACTGGACTCCCATGGTAAACTGGACTCCCATGGTGAACTGGACTCCGATAGTAAACTGGACTCCCATGGTGAACTGGACTCCGATGGTAAACTGGACTCCCATGGTGAACTGGACTCCGATGGTAAACTGGACTCCCATGGTAAACTGGACTCCCATGGTAAACTGGACTCCCATGGTAAACTGGACTTCCATGGTAAACTGGACTCCATGGTAAACTGGACTCCGATGGTAAACTGGACTCCCATGGTGAACTGGATTCCCATGGTGAACTGGACTCCCATGGTAAACTGGACTCCCATAGTCAGGGGTCGGCAACCAAAATAACAAGAAGACACTATATATTTATATATTTTAGAATTTCAAGAGCTCCAGAGCCGCAGGTTGCCGACCCGCATTAGGCCTGGCGTCGAGTCGTCGGTGCCGCGTGTGGAGCAACAGACCCACGTCCTCAATAGTGTCGTGCCACGACCCTTAATGGGCGCTCGCTTCACAGCAGCACCAAGCGGAGGTCTCCGGAGACGGAGGGCAGCGCGCCTGGGCGCTGATCCACGCCTCTGCCGCGGCTGCCCCTCGATCCGCTGCGGCGCCCGCCACTGCGTGGGGCGCGCTGCTGCAATGCGGAGGAGGCGGCGAAGTCACGGGGGCACGGCAACTCAAGAGCCAAGTTGCCGATGGTGAACGAGAATAACAAACGTGAGCGGGCGCGCAACGTTAAATCGATGTTCCAACGGGAACTGCATTTGCCTCGCGTCACGCAGACCTGGGCGGCTGGAACGCGCTGCAGACGAAGAGCAACGTTTTACAATGACGCAATGCCATCGGGAAGTTTTTGCTTCTGCGCGGCTGGCGGTGCTGCGGGGTTTCGTGAATGCGCAGTGCGCAACTGGGGCGGGGGGAAATCTTCAGTGTGGGGGCGAGGGGGCAGTGGGTGGGTGGAGGGGGCAGTGGGTGGGAGGAGGGGGCAGTGGGTGGATGGGTGGAGGGGGCAGTGGGTGGGTGGAGGGGGCAGTGAGTGGGTGGAGGGGGCAGTGAGTGGGAGGAGGGGGCAGTGGAGGAGAGGGCAGTGGGTGGGAGGAGGGGGCAGTGGGTGGAGGGGTGGAGGGGACAGTGGGTGGGAGGAGGGAGCAGTGGGTGGGTGGGTGGGAGGAGGGGGCAGTGGGTGGGAGGAGGGGGCAGTGGGTGGGTGGAGGGGGCAGTGAGTGGGTAGGAGAAGGGGCAGTGGGTGGGAGGAGGGGCAGTGGGTGGGTGGGTGGGAGGAGGGGGCAGTGGGTGGGTGGAGGGGGCAGTGGGTGGGAGGAGGGGGTAGTGCGTGGGTGGAGGGGGCAGTGGGTGGGTGGATGGGAGGAGGGGGCAGTGGGTGGGAGGAAGGGGGCAGGTAGAGGGAGGAGGGGGCAGTGGGTGGAGAGGGCAGTGAGTGGGTGGAGAGGGCAGTGAGTGGGAGGAGGGGGCAGGTAGAGGGAGGAGGGGGCAGTGGGTGGGTGGAGGGGGCAGTGAGTGGGTGGAGGGGGCAGTGAGTGGGAGGAGGGGGTAGTGGGTGGGAGCGTGCAAATAAAACATAATACCCCCCAGCCCTGCTTACTTCCCAGCCCCGGCTTTCGTCTTGCAGCACCCCACTCCCCCTACCCCATACCCCCACCCTCTCTATCTCTCCTCCCTGGCTCCCCCCCCCTCTCTTACCTATATAGCCTCTTGATACAAGCACCTCTGTTGTCCACTTCAGCAATTGTTTGTTGCTTTGGTTGTCCCACCTGATGACGGATGCTTGTGTTGCGCCCGAAACGTCGTGATTTAATTTATTTTATTTTATACCGACGTGACTTTACCGAAAGAACCAAAGAGTATGGATCTCTGCAGTCACGAAGACTTTAAATCTAGATGTAATATATGGAATTGTCTTTGAAACTGATTGTCTTACACCAGAGACAGCCTTCTTTATCGCCTACTTTTGAAAAAAATGAGTTTTCAATCTAGATGATGATTTAAAAGTGCATAGCTTCAGTGGCTTCTTAATATCAGAAGGAAGAGCATTCCAGACGGCCACAGAACCACATCCTAAATCGCTTGATGCAGTGACCCTCGTCTTTGTTTGATGGCTATCCAAAAGCCGCTGTGAGGATGACTGCAGTTTTACGTGATGGTTTATGCCCCTTGAAGATATGAGCGAGGCATTGTGAACATCTTTGTGTCAGGACACAGACTTTTCTATCCCCTCAGCTCCATCAGTTGCTTTCCGCTTTGGCCCGCGGTCATTAATGACAAGCGAGCTTCTGAGCTCTCTTGTCCCCCTCCACCGGAGCTTTCCGTCGTGCCACTGCATCGGCAATGCCGACAAACGAAGGCGGATCACAACCTGTATCGGAGGTGCGCTTCGCAAATGTAAAGAGGAAGGTGCTCTACTCCTACATGGTCCGGTTTCACCAACAGGACACCCTGAGGAGCCACAAGGACCATGCCTGGAGGAAAGCCCTGCCCTGCGTCTCTCCGGAGAGGCCTCGCTGGAGGCAACTCTACTCCAGCCCGACATACAACCGCATCAGCGACCTCAGCTGGAGCATCGCCCATGGCACCGTCACCACCAACGCCTCCCTGGCGCGCTTCACCGACACGTCCCCGGAGTGCCGGTTCTGCGGTAAAGTGGAGACGGTGGCGCACCAATACGTGGAGTGCAAGAGCCTGGACTCGTTGTTCAAGGTCCTGAGGAACATCCTCCTAAGGTTCAGCCTCCACTTCTCCCCGACGGTCCTCATCTTTGGATACCCGAAAGGCGACGGACCCCAACATCTTCAGGGGCCGGTCAACGTGCTCGTCGGCTACGCCAAGCTCGCTGTATACAGGGCGAGGAAGGTGGCCCTGGAGGGGAAACGTCCGGCCAGCAGCCTGGGCATCTTCCGCGCTCTGGTCGGAGCCAGAGTGTGGCTGGAGTTCCGCCATGCGCGGCTGACCCACGCCGTGCCGGCCTTCAAGGAGCAGTGGGCGCTGGAGGAGGCCGTGTGCTCGGTGGCAGATGACGGAGCGCTCTGCAGGCAGATATGAGCTACCCGTCAGAGGTCGTTGGACTGCAAGAAGGGCTGCGTGCAGATGAAGCACTTGTCGTAGTTAAAAAAAACACGAGAGAGCGAGAGAGAGAGCGCGAGTCAACGTGCTCTTCGGCTACGCCAAGCTCGCCATATACAGGGCGAGGAAGGTAGCCCTGGAGGGGCAACGTCCGGCCAACAGCCTGGGCATCTTCCACGCTCTGGTCGGAGCCAGGGTGTGGCTGGAGTTCCGCCATGCGTGGCTGACCCACACCGTGCCGGCCTTCAAGAAGCAGTGGGTGCTGGAGGAGGCCGTGTGGAGAACTCTGCATTCAGATATAAGCTACCCGTCGGAGGCCGTTTGACTGTGGGAAGGGCTGCGTGCAGATGCAGCACTTGTCGTAGTGAAAAAAAGCGAGAGAGAGCGAGAGAGAGAGCGAGAGAGCGAGCGACATGGAGTAGGAAGAGAGGT